CCGTCTCTCCTCCTCTCCTCTCCTCTCCTCTCCTCTCCTCTCCTCTCCTCTCCTCTCCTCTCCTCTCCTCTCCTCTCCTCTCCTCTCCTCTCCTCTCCTCTCCTCTCCTCTCCTCTCCTCTCCTCTCCTCTCCTCTCCTCTCCTCTCCTTCTGTCCTCCTCCTCTCCTCTCCTCTCCTCTCCTCCTTTTCTCCTTCTCGCCTCTCCTCCTCTCCTCTCCTTCTTTCCTCTCCTTCTCTCCACTCCTTCTCTCCTCTCCTCCTCTTTTCACTCGTTGCAATCTCACCACCCCCTTTGCCTCTTCATCCCCTTCTCAACCCAAACCCCGCTAGTACTCTTCTCTATACTGGCCTCCGGCTAGTGCCCCTGAATTCTCCTGTTTCGTTTCATGAAATCAGCCCTCCTTGCTGCAATCAGTGCTCCTCTCTGGTCGTTTTCTTCACATTTCACGTTCCTCTTCCAGTTGTTGATATTTTTTTCCTCCCCCGCTGGGTTTGAATATTCGTGTCGATGAATGATTTTCCTTCTCGGTGCCCAATAGATTGCTTACTATCGCCTGAGCGATCTAACTCACCTAATTGCTGTATGTTTCTATCTCAGCTATCATTGCCTACCAGCATAAACCTCAGTAGGCTGTGCTATCTCACCAGTCTCATGCTCCCTCCCCTGCCTTTGCAAGTGATGCTTCACTATTCAAGAGGAATATTCTAAAAGTACCTCGCACAAGTCGACTGATGTTTTCCTGCCATAGCCGCGCACCAAACCGAGGTCTCGGAGGATGCCACACGGCAGAGCTCCGCCGCGCAAGCAGTCCTTCCCCCCACCTGACCTCGAGGAAGACGAGGAAGAGGAAGAGGAAGAGGAATTCAGTCGCCCTTTCCAGACCCTCAGGAGGTCCCTCCGACATAGCGTCATGAAGAAACGCAAGCCCGACAGCGACAGCGAACACACAGAAACGACCGATGAGGACGAGGACAATGACGTTTTCCTGCACAGGATCCCAAAGAGGAACAATGAGCTGCTGCCTAATGCTGTTGCCATCCGTCCGTCTTTTCGCATGCGAAGCAAGATTCGCGAGAGCATCCGCCAGAGCAAGATCCGCCCGGCAAAGTTTGAAGTTCAGGTGGGCGGGGCTGAGGGTAGACACGCGAGAGATGTTGAAATCATGCTCAGGAAGCTGTTGCGAAACTCATGATGAAGAACAGCCAAGAGCAGAGGCAGATCCGAAGGATCTCCAAGATGATGAACACGCGTCAGAGTGTTGTAGCGATTCTCGCCATCGCCTCCATCATCCTCGGAGTGATAGTGAATGAGCTGTGTGTGGCAGGGGAGTATATCGACCACCCCCTCACGCCGGAGGAGCAGGCAGCGTTGAAGGATCCTAACAGGCCACCACGGAAGTGCGAGTACTCCATCGCGGAATTCGTTAAGCTGCTGCAGAGCTTCGTGACGGCCGTCATCCTTGGGTTGATCATCGTGCAGTTCCGACTTCACGGACAGCTCCAAACCTCGCAGGAGCGGCTGGTGACTAAGTCTCCCTTTGAAGGAGAAAACCAAGACCCTGCCTCTGCCCGGACCAAGATCACCAGCAGCTGGAAGGAAAAGCTGCGACTCTACATGGAGCTTGTCATCAACTCCATTCACACGGTCCCCTTCGTGTATCACGACTTCCCACTGCAGATGTCGGGCAACACCTTCTACTACCGGCTAGAGTCCATCTTGTGTGCCGTCATGCTGATCAGGCTGTATCATGTTTGGCGTTGGGTGCACATGAAGGTGTGGATGGCGCGCTGTTGAAAATCCTGTTTCTAACGAGCAGCCTGTCAGGTCCAGTTCCGCTACTTTAACCCAGAGGTCTCGCAAGAGCTTCTAAGAGTTCACCCATGTGACAATCCAATCTGACATGAGCGGCAGGAGTCCTACCTGCTCCGAGACCACGCCACCGTCAAGATGTTTCAGAGCACCAACATATCCTTCCGCCTCCTCTCCATCAAAGTTGCGATCAAGCGGCATCCTGTTGAAATCATCTCAGCCCTCACTCTCTCCATCGTCGTCACCATCACATACTTTGTCCGCATCGCTGAGGGCCCGGCATATCAGCCTCACAGCACATACATCTGGGACCAGATGTGGATCGTTTACGTCACTCTGACGACTGTGAGATCAAAGTATGCTGTCGTGCCTGCCGTCCGCTGATCCTGCCATGTCTTGCTGTGCAGGTCGGTTACGGCAATGCTGTTCCTGTCACCCACTTCGGCCGTTTCGCTGCATGCATTGCGATGGCTGTCGGCCCCATCATCGTTGCCTTCATTACGGCGAGTATCACACAGACGCTGCAGATGAACGAGGACGAGGCGTTCATCATGCAGAAGATGGACCACAATCACCTGCGGTTCAAGGTGCTCAACACAGCGTCGAGGATCATCCAGCTATGGTGGAGAAGGAAGGCGAGTGTGGCCCGAACGAGGTCCTCGTCTGTGAGGATGAGCATCTTCAAGAAGCTGCCGCGGCGAGCCTCAGAGTATGACATAGACGTGAAGGGATCTATAGCCTTCGAGGCGAGGAAGGAGGACCTCTACAGGCAGCTCTACTTCGCTATCGAGGAGTTGAGGCGCTTTACCAAGGCAAGCATACCGCTCTCCGTGCAGTATGAAGAGATAAATGGCGACAAGAACGCCGTTCGGCCCAGCAGGATGCTCCCCACCACCCCAACTGCCCCGCAAGCTTCTCCTGGAGACAAAAGTTCCGACCTGCGGCCATCGATCTCCAAGCTGAGACTCCCCAAGAGAGAAGACGTGGGAAGGAATCACTTTGACAAGCTGGAGAGCCCACAAGGGGGTGAGGAGAGATTGAGAGGAGAGATTGAGAGGAGAGGAGAGATTGAGAGGAGAGGAGAGATTGAGATGGTTGTCAGGCCGTGGCGAAGGAGCGGATGGGGCCTACCTGGAGAGGCTCCAGAACAATGTGGAGCAGGTGGGCACGATCATCCAGATACTATCCCAAAATGTCTTTGACTTCTCCGGGGCAGATCAAGCGCGTGCTCGACTCTGTCGAAGGGCGTCTGACGACCTTGGAGAAGAACCAACTCAGGTCGGTGAGAGGTTGACAACTGAATGCAAGCGCCACGCCGTGAAGTGAGAGTCGGACCGTCTGGTCCGAGTCTGGCTGGCCGACTTGACGGTCAGACTCTCCGCGGCCCGGGCGGCGGCGGCACTGCTATCAAACTGAGGTTGAACTTCCTGTAACCCGGCAGCCACTGGCACGGGCCGCCGCACATCCGAGGCGGCCGGGCCGCCGGGCGCCATCGATGTCCGAAGTTCACTGAGCCGCCAGTGTGCCCCCCCCCCCCGGGGGGGGGCTCGTCCGGCGGTCCGACTCTCGGAGGCTCGGCTGTGGATACTACTATGATCGGAGCCCTAGCCTGCCGCCCGGCCGGCCGCTGAGCCTCGGAGTTCCCCGGCCCCCGGCCCTTGGCCGGTGAAACTAATTATACTCGGACATCGCGATGCGACCTCGATTTTATGTAGTAAAGATCGCAGTACCAAAGTTGACCCCAGTTTATCCAAACTTCCCCCCAGGATTTAAATGGGGAGCTGCCGATTTCCGTCAGAGAGGAATTTAGAGCTGGGTACTTCTGGATCGCCGAACCGTTGCGATCGCTGGATATGTACATATCTGCAGTACGCCGGTACAATATAAGTATTTGTGCCCATATTTTTATGATTTCGTATTAATACCAAGTTTTGGTTATAAAAGTATTGTTTCCTACGTACCCTCCTTTCACTTGTACCTGCTTTAATTGATATATATATATTTATAACCAGATATAAATTCCCGAGTGCCATGCTCTTCCCCCGTTCAGCTGGTTGCTTCTTCCCTTGCGATCGCTCTCGCTCACTATCCACTCACGCCCGATGCCATCCTCTTCCATGGTTTCCTACATTCTCTCTCGTCCCTCATCTCCATCTTGTGATATCCCGCAAGTGCTCAGTCCAGACGTGATCCGCAAGTTTGTGTGCCCACCACCAGATTTTGCCCGTACCCTTGATCCTCCCGCCACCAACTACCTTTGACATCCGATTTCTCCAACATATTCATGTTCCTCATGTATCCTTGTTTCCTATTGCGTCTTGATCAGTTTCTCCTCGTGATTCTATTCTCTCGTGCTACTACTCCTGAAATCAAGAAGTCTCTTCTGATTCTTGGGCATGTTATGGCTCTAGTTGACTTAGAAAGCATTCCTGTCGCTGACAATGTAATGCAGGCATGCGATTGAGGATATATCTTTCCTGTATGCCTGATGTGGAGTGGTGAAGCTTGCTCTTCTCTCCTGCGTCGCGGGGGGCAGCGTTCGGACTGAGGCGTCCGAGGAGGCATGAACGGGAATCACGAGAAAGAGAAATCTGTGAAGGAGGAAGAAAGTGTGGTCCTTGAGGTCGACTCGAACTCAAGAGGGAATCTTTCCAGCGCAGGCAGCAACTGGGCAACTCCAGGATGGTCGATCAGGGAGTATGTGCACGACCTGCTGCCCCAGTTCACCTGGAGGGTGGGAGTTTTCTTCTTAGTCCTAATCCTGTCGCTCAACGCCATCGGCCTCTCCACCATCTTCACAACGAGGCAGAACCAAATAGACTCGAGGCGCCTGGAGGCCCAGAGCTTGGCCACCTACTACTCGGCATTCTTCTCCAAGGAGCTGCAGAGCGCTTTGCTTCCAATGTACTCCCTCGCCGCCTTCATCACTCGAGTCCCTGCCCTGACCGACCTCTCTGGGATTGCGCAAAACTTCAAATTAGTCCCGCGAGAGGATGGTAAGGTCTATCGCAACGTATCGGGGATCCCTCAGTCCACTCTGAACATCTTTTCCGGCACCTGCTCGGACATCCTGCAGTTGACGTCCCTCAGTCCGACTATGATTTCCTTACAGCTTGCTCCCCGGGGGATTATCACAATGACATATCCTGCAGCGGGCAACGAGGGTGCGACAGGATATGACCAGCTTGAAGACCCGACGAGGGCGCCGGACTCGCTGCGCACGATCAGCAGCGGGGAGTTCACTATGTCAGGTACGCGGTAATTTTTGCTGTCCTCGTTTTAGTGACGGGCGGACAGGGCCCGTGCTACTGGTGCAAGGAGGGTACTTCCTGATCGGCAGACTTCCACTGTTTGTGAATGTGGACGTTCCGGGCTCGATGGATACAAGGAAGATCGCAGGAGTAGAAAGAGAGGTTGTGGCCGGAAAGAATTTCTGGGGCTTCGTCACTTGCTTGTTCAACTATCCCCTCCTCCTCAATCAAAGTGGGATCCTTCAGGAGCTGAAGAGTAAGGGGATAATCTACAACCTCACCCGCCTGGACGTCTCCTACGCGTCGGGGAAGGCAGTGCAGTCTGTGAAAGTCGTCTCCTCCTCCTCCTCCCATCCCATCGGCGACGGTGTGACCGTCACTGTGCAAGTTCCGAACAACGACTGGAATCTCACAATTTCGTACGTGAACGGTTTCGCTCCCAGGTGGGTCAATCCGGCGATCGTTGCCGTCGTGGTCTGCTCCTTCTTTCTCTCTTGCCTCATGATCTTCATCCTCCTCGTCTACAAGAAGAAGCGACAGTTCGAGATCGAGGGCGACTCCTGCCTGAGCGAAAAGATGAGAGAAATACGGAGACGGCTCAGGCTGAACAAGGTGCTGCTCCATCCCTATCCTCTGTTCTCAATGTTATTTTTCTGCACCTCCTGCTTCCTTTTCCTGGTTGTTTTGACGACTCCCACAAATTCCATCTTTCTGTCTCTCCTCCGCTCCACCTCCCTTCTCTCGTTTCTGTCCTCATAACATCGAAGCGACTTAACTATACAACAGGAGGATGGATTCTTCCTGAGCCACGAGGCTGTTCCCTTCTGGAGAATGCGAGAATCTGTCGTCTTTCTGCAGCGACGGCATCTTGAAGCAGCAGCCCAGCTTGCGCTGTGGCGCGACTTTGACATAAACCAAGTGGATGCTCTTTATGCTTGCATCGTCGGGGAGGAGCAGGAGCAGGAGCAGGAGCAGGAGCAGGGGGAGCAGGAGAAGGTAGAAGAGCAGCAGGGGAAGGCCCGTAAGCATCGGTCCCATCAGTATCATGCGTTCAGGAGCTGGCTGCTGGATGTCAGCACGAACCTGCTGCAGCCCGACTACGACGAGGCCATAGAGCATCTGCACGAGCACGAGCACGAGCAGGACAGCACCGAGGAGGAGAGACAGTCGCACGTGAGCAACACCAGCTCCTTCGCTTCGGAGGCTACTATGAGGGTGTCGAACTGCCACGAGAGGTTCGAGTACTTCAAGGTCAAGGTGTCGAAGATCCGCATCTGGAAGGATGAGAAATGCGCGCTATTCAGGAAGCTGAAGGGGTCGGTGAGAGCATACATGGATGAGCTTGCTGGGCTCTGCCACTACCGCTTCGAGCAACTGGTGAGGGAGGTGGGGGGGGCGGAGCTGATCAAGCTCGAGCGGTTGAAAATCTTCGAGATGGGCCCGGCAACTATCGATGAGTAAGTGCCGCATGCTGTGCTTGACGTCTCTACGGCGATCTGACTGAGTATGCAGAGAGGGGGACGAGGAAAGGAATGATGCAGAAGTCGGCCGAGAGGTCATCAAATTTCGCCGCCCGAGCGATATCCTCATCCCGGACCAACCCACCTTCCCCGACCTGCGGGGGATGTTCGAGGGAGGTCTGACGGAAGAGAACTGGTTACAGATGGCTGCTGTGCGCCAAGACACGGTGAGTACTCTGCCGCCTCCTCCTCCGAACTTGACGCTCTCCCTCAGGTCGGTGCGATAAGGCCGACCAGCATCGACAAGGCTGAGCGAGAAGCGGAGAGCATGAGCAGCGTCTACTTGTGCAGGAGGGTCAAGGCCTCGTCCTGGATCCCCAGCTCCACCAACGAGGATGTGTTCATTCATCAGCTGTACAGGAGGGCGACGCTGCTCAAGGAGGAGTTCGATAAGGCCGTGCTTGCCGTCATTGACCAGCACTGCACGTTCGACGGACGGAAAGACTTCAAGAAGAGGGCAAGAAGCTACGACAAAGTGGCAGGGCACACGTTCAGCATGCGGCGCTGCAAGTTCGAGGCTGCTCCGGGAACGCTCTCCGTCCACTTTGCCGCCATTAAGACCATCAACCGCATGCAGGCGAAGCTGGAGAAGTACAAGAACATCCGCCCCTGGCCCCTCTCGGCCTGCATCCTCGACCCTGTCCGAATCTCCATTGTCTGCACCAGCCCAGCGCACGTGCTGGAGGTTATGAAGTGGTTCCAGGAAGGAGGGCAGAGCTCGAAGCTTAGGGTATGCCGGGTGAAGAACAAGTTCGCCTACGACAAGCAGGACGTGCAGGACGGGTACAGAGATCTCAGTCTCGCCGTCCTCTTCCAAGGACCGAGAAACCTTCGCATCATCGGGGAGATCCAATTGCATGACCTCTCGCTCTACAACCTCAAGACCAAGGTAATCCATCTATGCATTCCTTTCCCCCTCCTCCTACTTCTCATCTTTGCAATCGTCCATCGTCGTCGTCGTCGTCATCATCATCATCATCATCATCAACAACAACAACAACCACGACAACAACCACAACAGCACCGGCGTCATCACACGCTTTCTTCTCCAATCCCCCACCCCAATCGGCCCTCCTCCCCGCCTTGCCTTCCTTGCTCTCTTCGTTGCTTTCCCGCCTTCTCAGCCTCACTTGCTGTCAGATGCATCGCCTCTACCGCGTGAACCGATCAGCTCACCCGGACATGCTTGGCACCTGAAAGATCAACAAGACTCAATCATGTTTTTCTTGTTTGTCCTGCTGTTGTTGCGACGACTACTGCAATCATTCAGGATTGATGTTGATGCTGCTGCCGCCGCCGTCATTGTCATCATGTAAACTATTTCTCTCATGCTAAATCATATTTTCTGTCTCTAGACATGCTTGTTTGATAAATTTTTCTTCATCGACTCTGCCTCGGCCCTGAAAACCTGAAAACCGGGAGGAGCAATATCTATCAAGACAAGCTCGCCTCGCTGGTTTGCATACATTATACTCAAGGCAGCAACCATCAATTACACCTTAGCACCACTTATCGACGGCAGCACTCCGATGGTCTTTTTTCGGGGATGCGAATTATGGTCGAGACATCACTGAGAAAGACAAGCAGGGCGTCGAGGTAGAGGAGGGGAGAGGGAGGAGGCAGAGACAGGTCAGAGTACAAGGTCCCTGCTCAGAGGCACGCATGATGGAAGCGGTGGAGAGGAAAGAGGAAAGGAAAGACGATGCTGCCGCAAGGGAGGTCAGCTCGGTCGAGCATGTGAACGGGAAGTCGAAACAGGACGGAAGACAAGCAAGTCAGGAGGAGCATGCCGTGTACAAAGAAGGTAGCGCAACAGAGGACTATGGGCATGGGCCCGCAGACGATGAGCATGGTGAGAGGGACGACCAACAAAATGGGATCAATGGAACAAATGGGAGCCATGGAATGCAAAGGGAACAGCACAAGGACGATAAGCAGAGGGCTGACGAGCAAAGGAACGACAAGCTGAAGAAGCTTCGGAGGATAGGAGGCTCCTGGATCTCCACGAGCTCCTCCATCATCTCCCATGTCATCTTCAGCGTAAGGAGGAAGAAGGACTTTGATGCGAACGCGGTCTTCGACACAAGGTAACCTTGCCATCCTCTTGCTCCTCATGTGCATCGCGCTGACTGAGGGAGCCAAGGGAGTCCATGAAGCGCCTGAGAACGTTTCCGGGGATTCTGAAAGGATACAGACAGCTGTTCTTCTACTGCTTTTACGTGCTGGTGTTCTGGATTACCTTCTGGTTTCAGAACCAGCCGAATCGATCGTATCAGGTCCAGAAGAGGGAGAGGAAGTCAGAGAGCAAAACTCATGGCCAACAGGTCGTGTCGCAGATCAGGGGGACGATCTTCAGCCAAGACTCCATGTGAGCGCCGGCCGCCATGACGAGGCTGACTGGAGTGCAGGCTCGACTCGGTACGGGACGTCACTGCCCTCTGGGACTACTTGATTGGCCCGGTGGAGGTGGCAACGGCGCAGACGGCAGCAGCGGCTGTAAGTCGCCGAGCCCTCGCCGCATGCGATGGTTACAGTGAGTCCTCTCGCAGGCTGCCACGACTGCGCAGACTGCTGCTGTGAAGCAGCCCAAGAAGTCGAGGAGGTGGAATGAGTGGAGAAGAGCTACAGTTGTCTCGTTGACGCTCCTTGACAAGGTCAAAGTCGGGAGGAGGAGGATCGGCGAGTGTAATCGTCTTTGACTATCTCTTCCCTGCCGGTGCTGTTGCAAGACGACCAGGTTGAGATGTTTGCGATGAGATGATCTTGTGTTGCCAGGATGGTACAACGATCAACCCTTCTCCTCAACTGAAGCCGAGAGCATCCTCTTGATGAACAAGCTGGTGTGTGAACGAGTGTCTTCATGTTGCTTGCTGCCCTCTCTTCCCTTCTCATTCACTCCCTCTCGTTTCGAAATCTCAACATGCTCTTCTTCAGTATTCCCATCCGTTGTCATACTCATTTTTGTCTTCTTTACCTCGAACTGTTCTGCTTCTTCGCCCTTCTCCCCGCATGCTCACTTTGCCATCTGCGCATGATTCGTTATCAGGTTGGAGGCGTCCTTATCTTGCAGCAACGAGGTAGCCTTACTTAAATCTTCGTCTAGCGCTCGTAGCTGAATCATTCCATCACAGCAACGACAACAAGCTGCAGATCCCAGCTGTCAGTCTTCAGAGTCTTTCCAGCTTCTCTTTCTGTCTGATCCTTCCTCAGCTGCAGGTACGGGGCCTTCTACGGAACCTGCCTCTCCAGCCAGATCGACAACTCGACCTTCGGAGCCCAGGGCATGAATTGGACTTTCTCAGGTGAAGGCGACTGGATTTACGTGACAGACCCTTCACATGTTTGTCGAGCAGAGCAGTACGGGGCCCACATGGTCTTTCTCCCGGCTTACAACGGCTCAGGTGCCAACGGCCTGAGTCAGTTGTCAACTTTGACTCCCTCCCAGGGAACCTCCAAGTCCTCTCGGCCCTGCGGGAGAACAGATTCATCGACAGGCAGACAACCAGCCTGCAGGTCAAGTTCGCCATGTACAACCAGATGCTGGGATTGTTCTCCGTCGTGTCGTTGACGGTCAAGATGAGCATGGGAGGAGGATTGATCCTGGTGAGTTGGAAGGAGAAAATTTCAGTGATAGACCATCTCTGACTTGATTCCTCACTCTTCTTCGCATGTCTTGGATCTTTTCTTAATATTCGTTTCTACTTTCTCCGTCGGTATCCTCCCTGTATAACCCTCCTCCTCCTCCTCCTCCTCCTGCCATGCATCCTCTCTTGTTCAGCCGCACAGTCTCTTCGTGCAGTGCGTGAACTCGGAGCCCTACGCACGCAACGAGGGGAAACTTCTCCTGGTTCTCGAGCTCTTCTTCGTCTTCCTCGTCGGCTTCGACCTGGGCAACATCTTGTACAGCGCCTACACGTCAGCAAGGAAGATGGCCCTGATGGCATGGCTCACGCATATCTGGAACTACCTCGACCTCCTCAACGCCGTTCTCTTCACCTACAGCCTCTGTCTCCGCGGCATCTACGTGTATCAGGCATACAGCAGCCCCACTCCCCTCCCCTCGCCCGACTATCCGGAGCAGCTGGAGAGGCTCCACACGCTGCAGTCGCAGCAGACGAGCGTCAACGGCATCAACGGGCTCATCTGCCTGTTTGTGATCTTCAAGTACTACGACTTTCAAGACAGGATGAAGATCATGGCGGACACGATCAAGAACAGCTGGGTGAACCTGTACCATTTCATTCTGGTGGTATGTAAATTCATTGATTGCACGGTGGAACTCTGTTGATGCATGTGCTTGTTATGCAGTTCTTCTTTGTCTTCATCGGGTATTCTTTCATTGGCTACATGCTCTTTGGGACCTCCATGTACGAGTATGGCAGCCTGACGAGAGCAGCTCAAGCTCAGTTCGAGATGATGCAAGGTTCTCCACTCGACCTCTTTTCTAAGTTTTCTCGTTCTCGTTGTGCTTGTCTTCCTGCCTCCACCTTCTCCTCCCTTGTCTTGTCGTCGTGCTTCCTGTGTTCAAATTGTACTATAATTGACTGACTCCTCCTCCTCCCTCTCCTCCTCCTCCTTTTCCCCCTCCTTCTCTTTCTTCTTCTTCTCCTCCTCCTCTTCCCTTTGCTCACATCTCTTACGATGCCCTGCAGGGAACTATGACAGCGACAAGATCCAGCAGCTCAGTCCATGGTTCGGTCCCTTCTTCTTCATCTCCTTCGACTTCCTCGTCGCCATGGTCCTGATCAACGTCCTCCTTGCTATCCTCGTCGACACCTACACCAGGTCCCTCAAGGCCCTGCTGGACCCCGAGTCCCTCATCGACCAGATCCGCCGCATCTTCAAGCACTTCTGGTCGTCGTTTCGGGCGAGGAGGAGCAAGGGGGCTCGTTTGCAGGACTTGTTTGACATCCTCAACTTGTTCGAGGCAGAAGACTCCGACGGCTTCACGTTCCGAGACCTCGTGAGCAAACTTGACAACCAGTCGCAGATCGACAGGTTTCAGGCTTTCCTCAAGCCCAAGGCCCATCACCCGCTGGACGAGGAGGCAGAGATCTTGCGGTCCCTGCTCGCTCAGCAGGCCCTCTACAGGACCCTGTCGGAGGAGAACAGCTCTCTCAACGCTCGGCTGTACCAGTTGGAGTGCCTGATGAAGGAGAGGAGCGAGAAAGCAAAGTTCACATCCCCGCGGGAGAAGGACAAGGTTTGCTTCTCCGAACGGAACCAGCTGCGGGTCTTCAGCAATGACCTGGAAGACAACACCATGGAGCCTCGCGCACCGTGTGAAGACGACGGCTTGCCACACGACTCGTGGAAGCCGGACGATCAGCCCGAAAACTTTCTTGGGATTCCCCTCTCCTCGCTCGGTTTGTCTCTGCAACTTCCCACCTTCAACTTCCGTCAACCTGCCATGGACATTCGCTCCTCGCTCTTCGAGGCACTTGTAGCTTGCTAGGAAGTGACTCTGCTAACAGCTGGTCTGCAGTTGAGCAAGCCATGGGACATCTTCAACCAAGATGTTCAAGACAGCGAGGAGTTGACAGAGATCAGGCAAGAAAGCCCTGGTCCCCACAGGGCAGGAGAAGCCAGAAAAAGCCAGCAGGTCCCTTGATGCTCTTCTCCCCGTCCCTTGCCAGCTCGTCCTGACTTCACTCCCAGGGAATCCTAAAGCGCCGTGATTTGACGCCAGTCTCCACCCACCGCAGCTTTCACTCGGAGTCCTCCTCAGCAAGGTTGTCTGCTTCCAACCGCAACGCTGCTGTAAGGCTTCTCCTCCTCGTGGAACTTCACCTACTCACTCCCGTCACCCTCACAGGCCAACTGGGACAGCGTGAACTCAGACTCGGACGACTGAGATAGGACAACAACCCATACATTACTGCCGATCAACAGTTCAACACATTTCATTGCAAATGATCTTCTCTACACTGATGGAGCTATCGGAAGGAGATCCTCCAAGGCCCCCACGAGCTTCACTTGGAGGGCTCGAAGAGCTCTTCTTCCTCGTCCCTGTCCTCAGGCTCTGCAGGCTGGCAGCATGGTCAGACTTTCTCCGCCTCGTCCCGCAGCTAGCAAACCTGATCCTCCAGATAGAGACTATTGTACACGACTCCAGCGCAGGCGCCGCCAGCTGCTCTCTTGGTCAGGATGTGGAGGGTGTTGAACGAATATGCTCACCAATGGAAGAGACGACATAAAGGATCATGTGCGTGAAGTCCCAGAAGACGACGGCTGCTCCGATCATGCGGGCGGGGTTCATGGAGCCTCCAGTGTATGGGCCCTGTGTTCCTCATCACTTCATCTCAACGAGTCCTTGTCATCACCTCAGCAAAGATGCCTGCAGCGCAGGAGAGGCCGATGGCAAGAGGAGCAGCGTTCTGCCGTGCTGTCAGCCGCCATACCATTCAAGGGAAGGAGGTCACCATGGCGGAGCCATGCTTGTCGACAGCGCAAGCGAACACAGTGTACACAAGGAGGAAGGAGCAGATGAACTCGAGCAAGAAGACCTGACCACAGCGTCAGCTCGTCGCACTCTTCCTCCTTGCTGTCACCTGAGTTGGGAACGCCGTGGTCAAGCTTCCAGACGTGGTGAAGGGAGTCGACAGGAACTCGGGGGGCAGCGCGATCCTAAGCAAGAATGCACCCAAGACAGCACCCAGGAGCTTTCGAAAGACAGTCAGAGAGCTTTCCGAGGGTCAGGAACCAGCTCGACTTCTCACCTGTGCAGTGATGTACAGGAGGTATCGTTGCTTTCCCAGTCTGGACAACAAGTCAGACGAGAGGAGGACCATCATGATCGATGCATGCCTGTTCGTCATCAGGAATGCGGTAGACACAGCTGGATTCAAGTGTCCTCCAGAGATTCCTGCGGTGGCGTAGATGAGGATGCCGAGGCAGAAGCCGTTGCCGAGCGCGGCTGTTGGCAATCCTGCGATGAAGCCAATGTCAGGGGCAGCAGGGAACATGCCGGCAGCACGTGCCTGAGTTGACGGAGTTCGCACTACATCCTCCTCCGAAGAAGGCAAAGAGAGCAACGCCCACGCATTCCGCAAGGAAGCAATATATAGGGATCTTCCCTGCGAGGTGCAGACGTCAGTTCAACCTGCATACCCGACCCCTTCAAGTTTGCCAGGCACGACACACGCGACGCTCTCAAATCGTGTGACACTATCTCATCTCACACGTTTCAAAATCTCAACCCATAGCATCTAGTATTCCTTGCTTTGTCAGTCATCGGATGTATCTCAAAACTAGTCGCCTCGTTCCTCCTCCTGGCACTATATCTTGAACCGCTTCTGACGGTCGAGTCTTTCAATACAAACAACTAAAAGTTGCCGAGTTCGATCTTCGCACATTCCCCATGACAGCTCCCTTGCTCCTTCACCCATTACTTCTGCCCCACTTGGTCTGGTCCCTCCCTTTCCGAAGTTCCATGCCAAACATATTCCCAGCATAGTATTAATGTCCAGCTCCCTTCATCGCTACATGCTCGTGCCCTGCCACCTTCCCAGCCGCGTCCTCTTCTCCTCAGTCTCACTTACCGAACGCACTCTGCAAGCGGTCCATGGCCTGGTGGCTTCCCGAAATAGATCGCAAGAAATCAGCGATATCCTGGCGACCTCCCTCATCCCCACTCGTGACCATTGATTCCCGGCCCGGGCCGGGCCGCCCGGGAGCTTTTGCGAGACTCTGAGGGCAAGTATAAGAGTCGTATCATACTAGTCACGGTACCGGGGCAGTACCCGGCGTAATAAAAAACGCTACTACCGTAAGAAACAATCCCGGAACTTCGGAACTTCATTCATAACAGCGATGCGGGGTCCCTACACCCTGAATTAAATCCGACTCTCGGCCCATTCAGGGGGCGCCTACTCAGCAGGCGTGGGCTCGGAAGTACCCGGACTTGATGGATCCGATATGCGGCCAGCCGTGCCAGTCAGATAGCGCCGAGTTAACAAAAACTCTCCTGTAAACCAAGACTTACGTGTCAGTGTTTTCAAGACTGCCGGCAATGTAGTGCAGAGACGAAGAGGGGGCTTTCCTAGCCGTCTTGCCACAGTCTATCTCTCATGTGCTCCTCAATTCTGGTTTTGTGTGCATTAAACTCGGTCTCAGTGAGCAAAAACTGTCTTGTTACAACTAAGGTCGATGTGATATCTGCGTGACTTTGGCATAGTACAAGTCCAACAAACTTGTGCTCCGTCAGGACCCCCCGGGGGCGGCCGGCGCCGGGCCGTTCGGTCACCGGGTCACTGAGTCACGGCAGTGTCTGCCAGCCTCAGTGGGCCGCTCGGCCTCGGAGACTCGCCCGACCTTCAACGAACCGTCACGAAGTAGTAGCTCTTGCTCTCAGACTCGCCGGAGTCTCAGCCTGACTCAGTGTCGGAGGGTGAGGGTGAGGGAAAGGGTGAGGGTGAGGGTGAGGGTGAGGGTGAGGGTGAGGGTGAGGGTGAGGGTGAGGGTGAGGGTGAGGGTGAGGGTGAGGGTGAGGGCAGGGGCTGTTGAAACAGTCTCCGAGGCATCGAGCAGCTTTTTGTCGTTTGATTTCGCTACTCCCACTCGGTGGTTCCAGGAGGTTTTGCCGTGAGGTCGTAGACGACGCGCGAGATGCCCTTCACCTGCCTGATCTTGGCGATGATGCTGTCCAGCACTTCGAAGGGGAGCTCTTGCCCCTGCAGGATGCCGTTAGTAAGCAGAAGCGCGAGGAAGCAGGAGGGGGAAGGGGTTTGGGAAGCAAGAGCGAGGGAGAGACGAGGAGGGAAGGAGGGGCAACATACAGGAACGGCTGGTTTCCCAGTCATGAAATCGCGGGTGATGAAGGGGCGGATGGCGATGCTTCTGTTGCCTTTGGTCCCGAAGGAAGCGGGGAAGATGACGACAGGGACCTGGCTGAGGGTGTGGACCAGGTCAGACTCCAGCATGGCCTCCGTCACGACACTGTCCGCCTCCCGCAGCTGCTCCATCACGTCCTGAGTGCAGTAGGTGGGCGTGACGTCCAGCAGGCCCTCGCTGTCGTTGGTGCATGGCGGGCCCCACATGAAGCAGGTCCGGCTGACGGACATCACCTCGGAGGGCACGTTGCGAGCGATGTGGAAGAGCTGCTCCCAGTCAATGTCGCTGCTCTTGGGCTCGCCAGGAAGGCTCAGGGCCACAGCCGACTTGTAGGAGCGACAGTCTCCTTGTACTCCCACAGTCAGCACAGGCAGCTGGCAGACGGAAAGCTTCCCCTTGGTGTACTGGGCCGCCAGCTGCTCAACCTTGTGCATGTCCTCCTTGGACAGCAGCGGCGGGCAGCTGCCGTCGGAGCACAGGCAGCGGATCGCCAGTCCGGGGCCAGGGAAGGGCTGACGCCAGACCAGGTGCTTGGGGAGTCCCAGCTCAGTCCCGAGGGCGCGAACTTCATCCTTGTGGAAATCTCTGAGGGGCTCGACGATCTTGCCCTGGGCGCGGAGCTCGCGGACCAGGGCCGTGTCGTTGTGATGCGTCTTGATCACGTCGGCCTTGGAGCTCGCAAGATGAGAGCCGCTCTCGATCAGGTCAGGGCGCAGAGTCCCCTGAGCAAGATAGACATTGTCCGCGTTGATCCCTAGCTTTCTGACCGCCTGCTCGGTCACTCGCATGAACGTGTCCCCGATGATCATCCTCTTGTGCTCCGGCGCTACAGTCTCCTCCAGTGGTCCCACCTCCACTCCCTTCGCCATGGTCCGCGCCTTGGCAAAGTCATCGGCGCAGTGGACCATGTGGAGATTGATCCCGACCTTTCCGAGGGCTACCTGCAAGGAGGGTGAGGATGGAGCCAACGAAGGAGCAGGGAGTCGAAGCAGTGAATGCAAACGGCGGGATAACAGAAGTTTGAGAAGGAAAACAACAAAGAGAGATTGGATGGAGGTGACATACTTGAACAGTCTCGCTCTCGTTCTTACGCATGAAGCCATGGTCAATGTGTACTGCATGAACCTTCTCTGGCCCCACGGCCTCCCGGCAGAGAGCAGCGCACACGGAGGAGTCAACCCCGCCAGACACCAGCACCAGGATCTCCTTCGTCCCGACGATGGAGCGGATCTCAGCGATGGCGGCCTCGTGCCTGCTCTCGGGCGTGTAGTCGGGCGACATCTTGGCGATGTCAAACAGGAAGTGCTTGAAGATCGCGACGCCGTTCTCCGTCAGGTCCACCTCGGGATGAAACTGAGTGCCGAACATCTTCTTTCCCTGGTTCTCGATCGCAATCACCAGCCCCTTCGACCAGGCGACCGGCCTGAAGTCCGGAGCGACCTCCACGACCGCGTCGCCGTGGGTCAGGAGGGTCTTTTCCTTGCTCGTGAGCCCCTGGAACAGAGGAGAGGACGTGTCGATGTCAACCGTCTCCTGCAGATCCTCCCTCTTGCTCGATTTTTCTACCTTTCCTCCCTTCACATAGTTAAGCAGCTGGTAACCATAGCACACCCCAAGGATCGGCAGCCCCATTTCAAGGACCTCGGGATGGAACTTGGGCGCGTCAGGGGCGTAGCAGGAGCCCGGCCCGCCGCTGATGACGATGGCGTCGTACTTCCCTTGCAGGTCCTCGGGCTTCGAGTCCAACGGGACGACATGAGACTCTACCTTGAGCTCTCTGATCCTCCTGTCGATGAGCTTTCCGTACTGCGCTCCCGCATCCAGGATCGCTACCTTGTTGCTGGGCCCCATCCTCTACAGCTTCTCTCTCTGCGAACCAGGAAGCGCTATCAGCTACAATGAAGCACGATTGGGCATTTACATAGTTACACGGATGGGGTTGAGGTGAAGGAGGTCACGAGGATATGAGGAAATGGAAATGGTGAGGAGAACGAAAGGGACGCATCGACCATAGCAGGAAGTACGAGCGGACTCCAAGTAAAGAGATGAAAATGATTCAAAGACATCAGCGCAAAGACATGTTGGTTGTGGAAGAATAAATGTTATCAACGAAATCAGGTGATTGGGGGGACTAAGAGGTCGAAGATTGAGCACTGGAAGAAAAGTTGCGATGAAAACGTCACCCCTGGATCAAAACAAGTCTGTGCAAAGAACACTCTGTGATGATGTAGATTCAAGGTCTTGGTTATCTCAATATTTGCACACGTACTGGTAGCCTTGATTCGGCGCACAGGGATGCAAGAATACAAAAGCCATGAACGCTACGAAAAAAGAACATCGGCCTCGGGAATCGGCACAGCGTATACCAGAAGAATCTCAATATGGGACCAGAGGTTTACATATCATTGTACAACAGAAAGTCAGAAGCAAGAGGGCAACATGAAGGTTATGACTGCAAGGATAAAAGGCAGGTTCCCTCAAGGTGGGGCGACTACTGGGGCAGGGCAGGGCGGGGCAGGGCAGGCAGGGCAGCGAGGAGGTTGTGTGGAAACGGAGAATGGGTGAGCAAGACACGGGCAGTTGGCACGAGAGAGAGGAGCGTTGCAAGGAGAATGGGAACGCGGAGGGAGGGGGAGGGGAGAGGGAGGATGGCTGGCTGAGCAGTGCAGGTGCGGTCGTGCATTCCTCCATAAAGCAATGCATGCTGTACTGTTGGATCCTCTGGTACAAAACCACTACGGATATTTCAAAAGTATTTTTAAAAGCATTTCGATCATGGTACGTATTTTGGAATTTGTATTAACTAGTTTTAAGATATGGTACTTTATAAAAATATTATATTATTTTATATTACGAAGTAAAGTATTCAATAAAACCATTTTGCTGAAAAAGTGTACTCTATGTAATATGCAACTTGATAAAAACAGCTATTAAGATTTTTACAAGTCAAGGCAGATTATAAGTCCCGGCCCCCAGAAGACCGCACGTGCGGAACCACAGGGTGGGGTGGTTACGGCTATCGGGTAGTCAGGTCGACAGGGCTCTACGCAAGGTGGGGTGGTGATGAAATTTTCTCCATGTTCTCTTTACAGGGTGGGGTACCGAGAAAGGGTCGCATGGGTGGGGGTAATTTTACAGTCCTTTTTGGGGTACTGAATGGTTTTCCTTGTCAACGGGTGGGGTGGTCCGATCTACATTGCTGCTGAGATGATTCGGGAGGGGTACAACTTCGTACCCACCAATTAGCCGATCATGGAGGGGGTATTAATGCCCGCATCCAGTACCCTACCCATTCCACTATCGCTACCCTGCCTTAATATAACCTACCCTACCCCTACCCTGAAGTTCATGCCAACTACCCCTACCCCTACCCCAAGCATGATTTCTTGCGGCTCGAGCTACTTCCCCCCCATTCCCGCCCCTCCTCCTCCCTTCCACATCCCTTCGTTGCAACCTCGCTACCGCCCCCTCTGCCTCTTCTTGCTTCCGTTGCGCTAGACTTGTATCACCTCTCCTACCTACACACTCCATCACCTTCATGTCTTGTTGCGGCCAGGTATGCTCTCCTTCCCCGATCGCTCCCACTTATGCTCCTTTGCAGCAGGGTCCGAACTCTGATTTCAGTCCTTCCATGGACAGTCACTTTGGGCAGGTGAGATGTCAAGCAGATCACTGCCAAAGCTGCGACCTGACGATCATGCCAGGTTCCCTTCTCCCCTGAGCTGGGCTCGAGCTGCGTGGGGTACAAGGAGAACAAGTTAGTTGCACCTGCAACAATCGAGCAAGAACTTACTGGAGCCGCGCAGGCCAACACTGAATGCAGAACTCGAGGCGGCTCTCAAGGAGCATGGTGAGCTTGTTCGAAGCTAGTCGCAGGCATGGATTGGCTGACGGCGAGGATTCAGGAAGGGACGGATTTAACGTCGAGGACTTGGTTAAGGAACAGCCCGGGCTGACCTACGACGACTTTCTGTTGCTCCCTGGTCACATCTATTTCTCTCCGCAGGTCAGCAAGCGAGGGACGAGTAGGGGCGAGTGGCTGATGATGGTGTGCAGGAAGTGTCGACCACCACGAGGGTCACCAAGAACATTCGCCTCAAGTGCCCATTTGTGTCTTCCCCCATGGATACGGTGTCAGAGGCGAACCTTGCTGTGGCGATGGCTCTGCAGGGAGGGATCGGTATCATCCACTATAACTGCACGGTCGAGGAGCAAGTCCAGATGGTGCGGCAGGTCAAGCGCTACAAAAACGGTTTCATCACCGACCCCATCACCCTCGGGCTGGACGCCAAGGTGAAGGACGTGAGAAGGATCAAGGTGGAGAAGGGGTTCAGTGGAATTCCAATCACTGAGACGGGCAAGATCGGAGGAAAGCTAGTGGGAATGGTCTGCACCCGTGACATCGACTTCGTCGGCGACGATGACCTGTCGGTGCAAGACGTCATGAGCAGGGACTTGATCGTTGCCAAGGAAGGCTGCACCCTTTCCCAGGCCAACGACATCATGAAGGGGAGCAAGAAGGGAAAGCTTCCTATCGTGAATGGAAACGGAGAGCTCGTGGCTCTCATCTCGAGGACTGACTTGCTCAAGAATCGTGATTACCCCAACTGCTCCGTGGACAAAACCTCGAAGCAGCTTCTTTGCGGAGCAGCTATCGGGACGCGTCAGTCTGACTACGACCGTCTTGCCCAGCTTGCCAAGGAGCATGTCGACATCATCCTTATTGATTCAGCCCAGGGAGATTCAACCTACCAAGCTGACATGGTCCGTCACATCAAGCAAAACTATCCTCACATCGAAGTGATTGCTGGGAATGTGGTTACTAGTCGTCAGGCAGCGCACCTGATCCAAGCTGGTTGTGATGCTCTTAGAGTTGGAATGGGTGTTGGAAGCATCTGCACGACTCAAGAGGTGATGGCGTGCGGGAGACCTCAGGCTGTGTCCATCTATCAAGTCGCGAGGTTCGCTAGAAGGTTTGACATCCCCATCATCGCCGACGGAGGCATCCGTTCCCCCGGGCATATTATGAAGGCGCTCTCGCTCGGAGCAAGCTGTGTGATGATGGGAAGCATGTTGGCAGGCACCCATGAAGCTCCTGGCGAATGGTTCTACCGCGATGGCGTGCGCATGAAGAAGTACAGAGGGATGGGCTCCAAGGAGGCCATGGAGAAGGGTAGCAGCACACGCTACTTGATGAACAGCAAGTCCGGGATCCAGGTGGAGCAGGGTGTGTCTGGCTTCGTTGCCGACAAGGGGTCGTTGCACATGTACCTTCCCCATTTGCACATGTGTCTCCGACAGGCCCTGCAGGATGTAGGCATGCGATCGATCCAGGTGCGTGCAGCCATTCAACCCTCCCTCCCCTCTGCCTACTATCTTCCCTCCTCCTCTCTTCCCTTCCATGTTTCCCTTTCCGTCGTTGATCTTCTCGCAGGAGCTGCATGGTGCCATGCAGGATGGTTCGTTGATGTATGAGAAGAGGACTGCCGCAGCTCAGAGCGAAGGCAAGGTTCACACTGTCCAGCATGTCCAGAGCTATGGACTTGCCACCACAGCTCGGTAAAGCTTCAGACGGGAAGCGTCTCGAATATCCTTCCACGATCATGGAGCTGATGCCTTTTGAGCGCGAGGAGGAGGAATGTGACCGGTAGGAGAAGTTTGTACAAACCCTTTGATTTCATCTGCATCCATCGCGATAAGTCAGTGGCTGTCTCGTGTACTTTCGGTTGGCTGCAACAGTGAAAACTTGAATTTATCCAACATCTGACATCCTACAGTCTCTCTGCAACCTCCTCTGCTCATCGTCTTCGCTCCCAGCCCGTGAGCTTGACGCCGACAGGGTTTACCAGAAAACGGAGGGGTTGGGAGCGGACCCGGCCTTCCAAGAGTCTGAAGCCATCCTGCGGCAGCAACGTCAGTCTGCCGCTCCCTAGAGCCAAGGGATCTTACGAGTCAAAGTGGAGGTAGATGTTGTCAGTGCCCTCCCCTGCTCCGGTTCCGATGTTGTCCCAGTTGGTGGTGACCGAAGCCATGTTGTCGATGTACTGTCCCTCTGAGAGCAAGCGACATGTTCAGCGGCAGGAAGAAAGAAGCAGGGATGCTACCCTTCCAAGAGCTGTGGCACTCTCCAGGCGTGCTGCAATCGTTGATCTTGGGGAACTCAAAAGTTCCACGATACTGGAGGAGCAGTAAGCAAGGATGAGGGAGACGGCGATTAGTATGACCAAGCCCACTACTCAACACATGCCGCACGTTCTCCTCTTCTCTGCGCTATTTTCTACATCATCAAACTAACCCCGCCAGGACAAATCAATCGGTGATATTCACTCAGTGCAACAGCCGAAAACATATGCATCGGAGAGACATCAGATAAAATTGAAGGTCGTGTTTTCACCTCATAGTTCAACAGGGTTCAATCTGCATGATCTATCGTCCCTATCTCCCTTTCTGACCTACTTCTGTTCCGCCGTTTCTCCACGCTCTCACCTCAATCATCTCTTCCTCTTCCTCTTCCTCTTCCTCTTCTTCTCATTCTTCTCTATCAATGCCACCATCATATGCACCGCCATCTCAAACCCATCACTACCACCACCATCACCGCCACCACTTCCTCCTCCTCCTCCTCCTCCTCCTCCTCATTGATATGATCACCACCACCACCACCACCACCACCACCACCATTGTCATCATCACCATCACCATCATCATCATCATCGTCGTCATCGGCATCGTCATCATCATTCTCCACTCTCCGTCCTCCTCCCGTCCCCTCCCCTACCTGGTCGAGGGCGACAAACTCGCGAATATCAGCAAACATGGCGACGAAATTAGCAAAAGGGAATGAGGGGGATGAATAAAAGGGTATGAGGGCACCCCAGAGCCGTTGATGGTGGAAGAGATTGCTGTGTGGGTGGGGAATGGTGGCAGAAGAACTTGGAGCAAGATGATGATGATGATGATGATGATGATGATGATGATGATGATGATGATGATGATGATGATGATGATGATGATGATGATGATGATGATGATGATGATGATGATGATGATGATGATGATGATGATGATGATGATGATGATGATGATGATGATGATGATGATGATGATGATGACCACGATGCTGATGATGATGATTATGACGATGATAATTCAAATCTTTTGAATACCTACCCCGAGCCTCCTCATGATTATTTAGTCAACTATACACGCCTATTCATATCAAATAGAGGAAGGTTTTGCTCAACATTGCCCTTCTTGTCTTGGATGGCCCGGCAGCCCTGGCAACGAAAAAGGTACATAAATTGACGGAGCAAACATTTTTAGGTCAATTTTCTCTTGCCGCTTGAATTTGACTAAAACTACTATGAGAACCACCCTGGTTGACTGATCCGACAAGGATACGGAACGGCAACGCTATGGGTAGTACGGCAACTCACGAGGCCGCTCGGTGACCGGCGGTCACGGTCACGCCAGGAAGCCGCCCCGCGGCGGCGGCGGCCGGGCTGGCGAGCCAGTCAGCCTGTCTGACTCCGAGCGGAGGCTGTGACTGAGTCTACTGTCCTCGTGACTCAGTCAGCTAACCCACTTTGCCTCGGAGGAGTGCCGAATCATTGTGAGTTGA